AAGAAAAAAACATACTTCAAAGATATGGCTATGAAGGTACATCACATGGAAACCAAGGAAAGAGGGGCTGGGAATCTAGAACACAATTAATGTTGTAGAGAACAAAGGTTTGGTATAGAAAATAATAGGTCAAAAAAAGGAGGCAGACAACTTGGGTTGGGCTCTGTTGAGTGTTTTAACGGGTCTTTCTTTTTTTTTTAAACGCTAAAAAAAGTTTTGGGTCAACTTACATGTATCTTGATTAATTTTCTCTCTGTTCTATTCAAATCCATCCATACCAGGACTATCATATTTATGAGGGATAAATTCCATATGGCTTAACCCTAAAGATTTCCTGAAGTTCGGACTTAGGTCGTCTGACTCGTCATTCTTCCCATTTAGGCTACCATTTGGGGTTAATGAGACCTGTTTTCACCACAACTAACAGCTGTTATTGGGTGGGGGTTCAATTGAAGAAATCTATTTCTCTAACTTGAGATATATAGGTTAGCGATTAGCTTAATAGTCACCGTCTCGTTGTTGGATTTTTAGGTCATGGGTTTGAACTTCGTTATTCCTCTTCGCTATAATAGTGCCAGACAAAAAAAAAAAACTTTTATAAAGCAACCGGTAATGAACTAGCTAGTTCTCAAATATGGGTTATAAGCAGCTGAAAATGGTTGGTGAAGGGTATCCAAAAAAAAATAAACAGAAAATTTGAATTTTATTCCCAGACGACCCAAGTCGTTTTTACCAACCACGACTTCATTATTTGCAATTTGATAGTGTCTTCAGCTTGGAAAAGGCCAAAACCAGTACAGCTAATGCAACAACGTAGCATATTTGACAGTATCATGTACAGGATCTGGACTCTAAAACAGCCAATGGGAGTTTTTCACACTTACAAATGGCTTAAAATAGAGGATAATCACTGCTACGTTCTTAGTACGATGAAAAAATAGAAGGATAAAAAGTTACAGAGATAAATAAAATATCATGTTTGATAGGAAAGGAAGATAAGAAGGATGAAAAAATAGATGAATTAATTTTCCTTCTAATTCATCAAAATCAATCCTTCTAAAATCGAAAGAAAAGTGGATCAAAAATTAATTATTTGTGTTGAGATGTATCTTATTTGTCTATATATTATGTATACAATAATTTTATAAAAAAATACAATGATAAAATATGTGTATATATATATATATATATATAATTTAAAAATAATAAATAAAAATATAAAATATAATAAAAAAATAAAATTAAAAAAATATTTTTTTCATCTTAATCAGGGATGAAAATTTTTGATTCAACACGATGACACGACTCGAACTTAATANGACCTGTTTGAATATAATACGTAAATTTATATGAGAAAGAGCTTGAGAAAAAAATATCTAAAAATTCTCGTAGAGTGGAGTAAGTTTGAGGTAAATTATCTTCACGGCAATTGGGGAAGACAGAGTCCAGAGAGATGAGAATTCAGAAATCAGAAGCACAAGGTTGGTACAACAACAACAACANATGAAAATGACCTGACACGCGAACAAGAAATATAAAAGACTCATAATTTTATGATTCAACACCAATTTGATACGATACGACTAGATTGTCACCTCTAATCTTAGCCAATATAAAAAAAAAATAGTCATTTTTATTTTCCATCCATCCAACCAAACATAAAAGAAGAAAAATGTATCATTCCTACTTTCTATTATTGAAGGATAAAAAATGTATCGCTCCTACTTTTTATCATTCCTACTAAACAGAGCATTAATCTATGGATCAAATTGAGATTTTGAAAAGATGGCAGAAACCATTTTCTAAAATACACGATTTAATTAGATGANATCACATGGAAACCAAGGAAAGAGGGGCTGGGAATCTAGAACACAATTAATGTTGTCGAGAACAAAGGTTTGGTATAGAAAATAATAGGTCAAAAAAAGGAGGCAGACAACTTGGGTTGGGCTCTGTTGAGTGTTTTAATGAGTCTTTTCTTTTTTTAAACGCTAAAAAAAGTTTTGGATCAACTTACATGTATCTCGATTAATTTTCTCTCTGCTCTGTTCAAATCCATCCATACCAGGACTATGATATTTATGATGGATGAATTCCTTNTTCATGCTGCATATAGTTATCATATAAGTTACGACAATTGATCCTAGGATGTTCGATTGAATTGCTCGAATCATTTTAATCTTAATTTTTTCGAGTTATATTTGATCTCAATAGGTTCTATTTGTCCTTTTTGGCAGGATAGCAGACTCGGAATTGTTTCCTCTATTATGGGGACCAACGTGGAAGATACCACTTTCCCTTTCGGCTACCTAAACCATTTTGTCCATTGTTAACCAACCAAAGCTCTCTCTCTCTCTCTCTCTCTCTCCCCTAGAGTTTGTGTTGAAATTATTAACCCGTGGTAGGTGAGCTGGTGAATATTTTCCTTATAAAGTCATCTTAAATCATACATTTCTGTACGTGTCTCTCTTTATCTGCCTATTGAGACGACCTTTCCTTCCTTACATACCATCCAATACCAACCACAAACCTTACCGAAAAACTCATCATGCCATCAGTTTCTGGCCGAGTTGTTTGCGTCACCGGTGCCGGTGGATTCATCGCTTCATGGATGGTTAAGCTACTATTAGAAAAAGGCTATACCGTCAGAGGAACCGTCAGAAATCCAGGTAAAAGTTAGCAAGGAAACCACATGAAGATCATTCTCTCTCTCTCTCTCTCTCTCTCTCTCTCTCTCTCTCTATATATATATATATATATATATATATGTATATGTAATCATATACTGTGTGTATATATAACAGCAGATGATCAAAAGAATTTTCATTTGAGAGAGCTTGAAGGAGCAAAGGAGAGATTGACTCTGTGTAAAGCTGACCTTCTTGATTATGGGAGTTTACGTGAAGCCATCAATGGGTGTGACGGTGTTTTCCACACAGCATCACCAGTGACTGATGATCCAGTAAGTTTTTTTGATTTCGTTTGGGTGATGAGAAAATGGAGGAAAAGAAAAGAGAAAAGAGAAAAGGAAAGAAATTGATAACTAGTACCCCATGTTTTGTGTTGGTTTTGGTATTAGGGTTGCACATTATTTTCTTTCTAATTTATACAAAAACAAAGACTAACACCATTTGTTAGTGTTGATGGGGGTACCATTTCGAAATTTATTATTTTGGGAGCTAAAAATATAAGTTTTTGAAGTCTAGGTATAATAAAAATAAAAAATTAGTTTCAAAATATTAAGATTGATCCTAAAAAATTATTAACTTTTGAGGGTCATAATTTTAAAGTTCAAGTTACGACTTTTTGGAGGTTACCATGTAACCGGGATCGATAGTAAAAATTATAATTTTAGTTTGAATTGTGAAAATTTAAAAAATTAGGACTTGACTATGGTATCGATAAAAAAAAAATAGTATTGTATTTTTAAAATTTATTACTTTAATGAGTGTTTTTAACATTGTGGGTAGAACTTGACTACGGAATCGAAAAAAAAAATATCGTATTTAAAAAATTTACTATTTTAATGGATGCTTTTACCATTTTAGGTATTTTTATCACTATTGTGATAACAATTATTATTTTTTTTTTGGTACAAAAATTATTTTTTTGGATCTTTTATCACATGTGTAGGTGTTTTAACACTGTTATAGTAACTATTTTATTATTTTTTTGGTATCATAATAATAGTAAAAATATTCACAAATGTAATAAATGAAAANTTATTATTTTTTTGGTATCATAATAATGGTAAAAATATTCACAAATATAATAAATGAAGATATAATACCAAATTTTTTTTCGGTTACAGACAACTCCAAAAAATTATACACGACCTCAAAAAAATATACTTATTGTAGGACACAAATTTTTTGGGGAATAGTAGCTAGAATTCTTTTTCTGTTTTGTTTGATATAATGAAAAAAATGAAAGAATGAAAAATTAGAGAAATAGATAAAATATTGTATTTAAGAAGGAACTAAAATAAGAAAAATGAAAAATAAACAAACATGTTTGTTATATTGTCTTCGTTTCATACGATAATAGGCTAAGGTGGTTGCAATGGGTGGTTGTTTGAATCGTAGGAACAAATGGTGGAACCGGCGGTGATTGGAACAAGGAATGTGATTATAGCTGCGTCTGAAGCCAAAGTAAGACGCGTGGTGTTCACTTCATCCATTGGTGCAGTCTACATGGACCCCCACAGGCACCCTGATCAAGTAGTGGATGAGACCTGCTGGAGTGATCTTGACTTCTGCCAGAACACTAAGGTTTCTTTTTCATTTAGTCAATTGAGTTATGTCACACATCATGTATTGTAAAACAATTTTTATAGTTTATCTTACGAGTGTCTACTACTAACCCATGTATTATTCGGATTAATTTCAGAGTTTAATTTTGGTGACATGGTTTTTGCAGAACTGGTATTGCTATGGAAAGGCAGTGGCGGAGAAGGCGGCGTGGGAGGTGGCGAAGGAGAAAGAGGTGGACTTGGTGGTGGTAAACCCAGTGTTGGTGCTTGGACCATTATTGCAACCCACTGTTAATGCCAGCATTGTTCACATTCTCAAGTACCTAACTGGTGTGGTCAAGACTTATGCAAACTCTGTCCAGGCCTATGTCCACGTTAGGGATGTGGCATTGGCACACATACTCGTATACGAGACTCCTGCGGCCTCCGGGCGGTACCTTTGCGCCGAGAGCGTGCTCCACCGCGGCGAGGTGGTGGAGATACTGTCCAAGTTTTTCCCGGAGTATCCTATCCCTACCAAGTAAGTTCAATAGTGTTGTGGATGTGGTGTCAGACACGTAGTTACACCAACTTTGACTGACCCATTAAAGATTGACACATTGGATTGACCTCACCAACTGAAGTGACTCCAAAGATTATTATTTGCAAATTGACCCCACGAATAAAAGAATTATAAAATCAAGACATAAAAAATAAAAAAAAATTCCTGGTCCTTGAGAGTCCTCACCTACCGTGACGTCTCTGTCTTGCTTGGACACCTACACCACACGTCTCCATTACGATGATGCAACTAATACGTGTGCATGACATCTTGAGGTTTGGGGTTTTTTTCCTTCTTTTTTGGATGGGTCATGATGAGTTATGAAGTTCTGATCCCTCGACTTAGTCTTAATCCTTAGGACGAGGAGAAATTAGCACTTAATCAATTGCGTTACTATGATTTTGGTTCAATATCAAAATATACAAAACCAACGGCATACAACACCAAAAATCCTTGTGCTCATATAAAGGGTTTTCTTATTTTTGAAATTAATTTTTTTTTTTTTCACTGAGAAACTTAAAAAAGTGTGGTGCAAATGTAGGTGCTCGGATGAAACGAAGCCAAGAGCAAAAGCATACAAGTTCTCGAACTTAAAGTTGAAGGATTTGGGGTTGGAGTTCACTTCTGTGAAGCAATGCTTATACGACACTGTCAGGAGCCTCCAGGAGAAGGGACACCTTCCACTCCCTACTCAAAATGATGAATCTCTTCGTATTCACTCTTAATTTCCCATCCTCCCCCACAAAAAAAAACCCAAAAAAGAAAAAAAAAAGAAAAGAAAAACCCACCAATCACCATGGCAGCAGTGGTAAATAAAAACTGTAAGGAAGAAGAGTTCTGTACTGTGTCCTCTGATTATGTTTTTTGTGACTTTGAGGTGGTTCATTAATTATAGTATATATGTTGATAGATGATGTACCAACTTTTACGTAGATTTCTTGGCACTGTTTTATGGTGAAGTACTGTAGTTTGGCTATTGTTGGGGGAGGAAATATTCAAATTAACCTGCAGAATTTGTACAAATAAAAAAATATGTGGATGAGGCGGTTCTTCTTCGTTAGTCGAAAAAAATATCCAAGCTTAGAACATTTTTTCCAAATGAGTTTGAACAGTGTTTCATCTGCCTAGCCCTGCCACAACTAAACCAATCTAAATTGGGACGATTTTGAATCTGTAAACGACAATAGAAAGCTGTTGAAATGACAAAACAAATCATCTGGATGTGCTTGGCATGAACCCAACTCTCCAAATCCCAAGATTCCTTTTGGGTTACGTTTGGACGGCCAATGAAATTGGAATAAACCTTCTATATTGACTCGTATATTGATCAATAAACAAAGCTAAGGAAAGCAAACATTCAATCTTGTAAAACGATTTCAAAATGCAATAGAGGAACTGTTAGGTGGTAGGTTTGGTACACGTCATGTAACATGAGGTTGGAACACAAGTTTCAACAATGGTGTCCAGTTTCCACCCTATAATAAGGTTGGCAGAACAATCTACTTTTATAATCAATTCCCGGCATGATAAAAACGACATCCTCTCAAGTTGGGTCGAACTTAAATAATCAAGTTTAATATGAAATAGGTGTATACAGAAAAATCATCTCATGTTGTGTTAGGTTGTACTTTATCTTCTTGCTCGAAAGATTGGTTGTTTAGTAGATGAGATTATATTCGGTCTGGCTTCCCTTCCCTTCCCTGTAAGTCATTGGGCCATTCAAAAGCTGACAACTTAACAATAGTGGGCCACAATTAAATATTTAATCTTTTCTTTTCTTTCTTCCACCCTCTAACACACAGACATAGAATGCAACCCTTACCCACCAACAGCCCACCTCCCCTTCTTCTTCTTCTCATTCCTGTTCTCTTTCTCACACACACACCCCTGTAAACACACATACAAAGTCACCCACCAGTCACCACCATCCACACACTGCCATTAATTTCTATGCTTGTGCCCAAACTTAAACACAGATGAAAATTTCTTCCGAAGAAACGAGCAAAAATTTAAAATACAACCAAAATTGGGCTATTATTTTAGATTTTCTGGGAGAAACCATGATGACCCAAGTGGAAAGAAAGGGAGCACCAGGTCTAATTGAAAAGAGTACTGAAAATTCAAAGAAAATCAATTCATCTCAATCTCATATCAGATGCTTGATATGAGGTTTGATTCAGTCGAAATTTGTTTCGGTCAAAGGCAATTGGTGGTGGGTGACAATGTATGTGTTGGGTGTGGGTGTGGGGGGTTTGGTTTGAAAAAAGCAAACGCATTTTTGAACATAATGGGTGAATCTGCATGTGATATTGATTCTATATCATGTTATGATGGCCAAACAAAATTTCGTTAGTTAAGTGGGCATCATTTTATATGGCACAAAACTTTCCACCTCATAAGTTCACTGACATGGTGGCTCCCCCCTTGCATTCATTATGTTGCACACATCAATGAAAAGCAGACAAAGACCTAACTACTATTTGAAAACAGTCATGAACTTATTGCTATTATTTTTTTTTTGGTGCAAAGGAAAAATAAAAGACATACACTAAATAGAGTTTCTAGAATAAACAATACTGGCCATATCAGCCATAAGCACGTTAGACATCTGGGGTGGTGGATCGTGTAGCTCCACGAACGCCTCTAACTGTTGAACACCGAGATTAATCAAAGTGTCTGCACGTTGGTTTTCTTCTCTGAAGGTGTGGATAATGGGGATATGGTTAGTCCCCATCATATTTCTGCAGCTGCTGATGACAGCTATGCTTGGGTGGACCTCATCTGGATCAGCCGAAAGCAGCTTGACAGCTTCCAACGAATCAGTCTCCACAACGACATGGGTAACTTGTTGCCTTAGCAGGAGTTCAAGCCCCTTCAAAATCAACCAAAGCTCCGCTTGAATGCTCGTTGTATCATTCATTCTCCCATAGAAACTAGCAATCCACTTGCCTTGGTTAGTCCTGATGATACCACCGATTCCCGCCGGTCCAGGGTTACCTTTGGAGCATCCATTAGTGTTGAGCTTGTTCCATCGTGCAAAAAGGAAAGACCAACTTATTACTATGAGATGATACGATGATGAAAAGATATACATTTGAGGCAAATTAGTTTCATTTCACTGTTGCATGAAGTTTACAGACTCGTTTAACCTCTAAGCAATGAAGTGAATAATCGGGATGTAATTTAATGCAGTTATTAGATTAATTGTGAGTTGAAATGTCAGATGAAACTCACTTTTAATTCAATAACGATTGTTAATTAAGACCCTAGATTATGTCCCCTAAATTAAGTCTAAATAACATTTTCCTTAACCTTTTTCTCATTTGGATGTTGGTTGGTTTCAAAGAGAATTGAATTTGTTGATAGAGAATTGGAACTTCAAGTCTTTGAAAGAATTGAACCAGAGTCTTTGTAATGAAAGTGATGACAAATATATAGCAAACACATAATATAAAATACAAAATATACAATGACTGTATGGTTCGAGTTGAAAGCTTACATCTATGCATGAAGTTTATAAAAAGTTTTTAGAAATGAACAAGAGAAGGAAAAACTACCCTCGAACGAGTTTATTATATTTGTAGTACTTCAAAACTATTGTTTTGGGTTTGATTTCTAATTCTTGACCCAGTTATATTTCTCATTGGCCCAGCACTCATTCCATGGAGCTAATGAGCATTTTCATTTAAGATTTAAAAGGTTTTGTATCGGATCGGGTGCGTATTGGAACTAAATATTGGACATTCACAACTATCTTCATTATAATTTCCCAAGACTTGACAATTATTGTATGGTAATGGCATGAAAATTAAGTATGCAATTGCTTATGTAGTGGACATCTTTCTTACTGACTATAACTGAAGAGTTGAGCTGCTTTGCTGTATTTCATCCAAGGAATTGGGCTTTTTTGAATGGATATTGGCCCACATCAATTGAATGTACACGTTTATTTTTTTTTAATTAATCAGCAGTATATCAGAACAAAACACTCTAAAGAATATCCATCTAGCTAAAAAAAAAATTCAATAAAGGTGTTCAAGTAAAAACCCGTATACAGCACACGAACATCTCGTCTAAAGTATAAGGTCAGACAAAAGCAAGTGATAGACAGTCTTTTTCCATTTTAAAAAGACTAATTCCCAATCTCAAAACAACAAATGGTCTGTCACGAAAACTTGATTGAACCATCAATATAGACGACAACTATACTCACCGATGTCTCCTCGAACTATTTCAAACAAGTTGATCGTTCTTCGAAATTTCATGTGGTTATTCAATACGCTTCATCGGACTACATNCGAAAACTTGATTGAACCATCAATATAGACGACAACTATACTCACCGATGTCTCCTTGAACTATTTCAAACAAGTTGATCGTTCTTGGAAATTTCATTTGGTTATTCAATACGCCTCATCGGACTACGTNCGATGTCTCCTCGAACTATTTCAAACAAGTTGATCGTTCTTCGAAATTTCATGTGGTTATTCAATACGCTTCATCGGACTACATCTCCTCGGACCAAGACCAATTTCATGCGGTACTACATTAATTTGATTATTCAATAATACCAAATTTTGACTTACGAATCTACACATTGCGTGTGAATTAATCATGAACTTGAACCACCATCCTAAAATCAACCACTTGCTCAATCTTAATTAGAGACAAAACTTAATTTTCTATGCTTCCATACACCTTCGGATCAGTCCACAATTGAATAATTGATTGAATCTGTTTTTAATGAGTCATCAAATGTTTGATGTAACACACTAACAGGGGGGGCTGCTAAGTTTGATTGCCATGTGGTTGTCCTCTGTCACATCACCCCCAAAAGCAATAAGCTTTGGGGACCGCCCAACTTTATCTACGTGTTTCTTTCTCGTAAGTTATGCTCCCCATCCATTACTGAAGTGACAATCAATCAGACACCCTTTTTCGTCATTGTTGGATCGGCAGTTGGGTAGTTTTTGTTGATTTTTTTTATGGAGTCTAGTTTGTATATGTGATTCGGATGATGATCCGACCTAAAGTAATGTTGTGTGATTTTTAATGAAATTTTTTTTTTGGCCCGTTATACAGCCCAGTACGTAGGACATATAAACCCTGTTGTTTTGGTGATTAGGGTTAATCGTGGATTGTACAGCCGCTCTCTATATTCAACTCTCTCAATAGTGAAATCCCTACAGTTTCGTGGACGTAGGCAAATTGTCGAACCACGTAAAATCTGTGTCTTGTTCTTTCTTATTTCTTATTGTTTTATATTCTTGATTTGTTCTTCGATTGTGTGTGTTTGTTAATGAATTTAAATCGTGTTAAATCTCAACAGTTTTTTCCCCTCAAAAAGAGGATTCATACTTCTGCTGCGAAGCATCATGCCTGCAAAGAATTGTAGAAAGGTACATACACAACTTAGCTTTTACCGTATCAAAAATTATAATTTTATAAAACACGATCAATTATAATATATTGAGATCAATATTACATTTTTCATGATTGATTATAAGTGTCTACGATCAATCATAACATCCCTTAAATAGTTATAACTTCTCTATTTAAAATTATAATTTTATGATACAAAATAGTAAACGACGATAACGGTACAAAAAATCTGGAGTGAACTTTAATGGTGATACCAAAATAAGGCGTTGGTCATTGATCGGTTTTTTTCATCAAGAAAGTAATGATTTTGCTTATTACTCTCCTTCACTATAATATTTAGGAACAACTAGGTTGGGTTTCTACTTCACATCACTCCTTAAATGATCAAAGCATCCGAAATACATAGCACAATTTTAAGACGGGGTAAAGGAGGAAATGGGTGGTTTTATTATTTCTTAACTTTTATTTTCGAGTGGAGGAAACAAAAGCACGAAGAAATATGCAATGATAATTTAATATCACGGATAATTTTGCTCATTGGAAAGTGACTCGGTAAAATAGATATGTTCGCGAAGCTACATATATCCTATTCAAGCTAAAAGACAAGATACCAAGTTGGAATTTGTAAAAATGTTTGATTAGAGCCCATAGTAACTTGTTTTGACCCATCTTTCATCAACCCTTTTCATAGAAAAGCAGTTACTATCTTGACAAAGACCCCACAGAATTTTTTGTTTCCTATTAAATGCACCCAAATACTATGGATTGTTGAACTCGAACCTCTTCTGGACCACACTGTTGTGCAATAACAGCCACACTCAACTTCCATTGCCAATTCCACTACCACCACATAAGTTATAGATAAAGGAGTAAAAGACTAAGGACTCACCATTCCCCCACTTTTACAAGAAACAAAAAACCCAATATTTTTTATTCACGTCATGTACTAAAGCATAATTACACGCCTTGTATTAATTCCTACGGGTTAGCTCCAGTGATAAAAAAGATGAACTATAAATTCAAATATCTTGAACTCGAATCTTGACAATTCTTTGAAATCAAGTCATAATGAATAAATTTTAACATAGATTATCTGTCTTTACCTTTACTGGAGATGGGATTGGTGGAGGTGTGCGTAAATTGACTAAGACACACTTAACTGCTGAACCCAAAATAAGTGGCCTAATTACGCCGTCTCTGCGAGCGCGACTGTGCGACGGCACACACACACACCCACAGAAATAACTTTCTCATGNATCATGCCTGCAAAGAATTGTAGAAAGGTACATACACAACTTAGCTTTTACCGTATCAAAAATTATAATTTTATAAAACACGATCAATTATAATATATTGAGATCAATATTACATTTTTCATGATTGATTATAAGTGTCTACGATCAATCATAACATCCCTTAAATAGTTATAACTTCTCTATTTAAAATTATAATTTTATGATACAAAATAGTAAACGACGATAACGGTACAAAAAATCTGGAGTGAACTTTAATGGTGATACCAAAATAAGGCGTTGGTCATTGATCGGTTTTTTTCATCAAGAAAGTAATGATTTTGCTTATTACTCTCCTTCACTATAATATTTAGGAACAACTAGGTTGGGTTTCTACTTCACATCACTCCTTAAATGATCAAAGCATCCGAAATACATAGCACAATTTTAAGACGGGGTAAAGGAGGAAATGGGTGGTTTTATTATTTCTTAACTTTTATTTTCGAGTGGAGGAAACAAAAGCATGAAGAAATATGCAATGATAATTTAATATCACGGATAATTTTGCTCATTGGAAAGTGACTCGGTAAAATAGATATGTTCACGAAGCTACATATATCCTATTCAAGCTAAAAGACAAGATACCAAGTTGGAATTTGTAAAAATGTTTGATTAGAGCCCATAGAAACTTGTTTTGACCCATCTTTCATCAACCCTTTTCATAGAAAAGCAGTTACTATCTTGACAAAGACCCCACAGAATTTTTTGTTTCCTATTAAATGCACCCAAATACTATGGATTGTTGAACTCGAACCTCTTCTGGACCACACTGTTGTGCAATAACAGCCACACTCAACTTCCATTGCCAATTCCACTACCACCACATAAGTTATAGATAAAGGAGTAAAAGACTAAGGACTCACCATTCCCCCACTTTTACAAGAAACAAAAAACCCAAAATTTTGTATTCACGTCATGTACTAAAGCAAAATTACACACCTTGTATTAATTCCTACGGGTTAGCTCAAGTGATAAAAAAGATGAACTATAAATTCAAATATCTTGAGTTCGAATCTTGATAATTCTTTGAAATCAAGTCATAAGGAATAAATTTTAACATAGATTATCTGCCTTTACCTTTACTGGAGATGGGATTGGTGAAGGTGTGCGTAAATTGACTAAGACACACTTACCTGCTGAACCCAAAATAAGAGGCCTAATTACGCCGTCTCTGCGAGCGCGACTGTGCACACACGCACCCACAGAAATAACTTTCTCACGAGAAAACAGAATTGACTTGGCTTATGAACAAGAAACACAAATAGGCCAGCAAACCCTAATCCACATAAAATATCAACACTAAAAAAAGAAAATCCCATCACCATATCTACACAAAATTGGCTAGAAAAGTACATTTGGACAAGGGGTTTGGTCATGGTTTCTATCCATATGGGCCTGCCTATGGTCCTATGGCCGAACCGTTAGACAGTTATTGTTGGCAGTTGCTCTCACCTTGCCAACTCCAAACAATGTCTTTGAGGGCAGGCCTCGCATCCTCCTCACAAAACTTCTTGTACTCAAGAGTGTCACCAGCAGACTTGGAAAATTCGACCACCGCCACCTCCGGTGCCACCTCGAACACCTCGGCTGTCACCGATAACTTCCCCTTCCGCCCCTCGGAAGCTCCCTGCATTTTCACCTTAAATTTCTTTGCACAAACAATCTTGAAATTCAACTTCTTAGCAACCAATTCAAGCTTTGCCATGATTGAAGAAGCTGAACATTTGGATGTAAACAAAGACCCTGATTTCCTCTTACTCTCAAAGAGGCTGGACAAGTCAAAACCAGAGGACATTGATGATATGAACTCAAAAGCATTATAAAACGGTGGTGCTGATTTTGATCTAACCAATTCTAGCTCTTCATCTACATCTTTCTCCTCGACATTTTCTTGGCCAAAAACTTCTGGAATCGAAAAGGCGATTGGTCTAGTGAATCCCTTTAGAAACCAAGGCACTCTCATTATCGCCGGAATTGTGATTCTCTTCTCTGGATCAGCGACTAAAATCTTCGAAATTAGTCTCTTTGCTTCGGAGGAAAACCATGGTGGAAACTCATACTGTGCTTTGAAAACCTTCATGTACATGTTCATCAAATTCTCATCTTGAAATGGAAGAAACCCAGCTAGCAACACATACAAAATCACTCCACAAGACCATAAATCGGCTTTTGATCCATCATACCCTTTCTTTCTCAGCACCTCCGGAGCCACATACGCCGGAGTTCCACACCGTGTATGAAGCAACCCATCATTTCTCAAATGCTCCGGCAAAGCTGATAACCCAAAATCTGAGACTTTCAAGTTGCCATTCTCATCAAGAAGCAAATTTTCAGGCTTCAAATCACGATGATAAACGCCACGACTATGACAGAAATCCACAGCACTTATCAATTGTTGAAAGTATTTTCTTGCCAAGTCTTCTTTGAGCTTACCTTTAGCGATCTTTGCGAATAATTCACCGCCCTTGATGTACTCCATTACGAAGAAAATCTTCTTTTTGGTGGCCATGACTTCTTTGAGTTCGACGATATTTGGGTGTCGAACCAAACGCATAACGGAGATTTCTCTCTTGATTTGCTCCATCGTGCCTTCTTTCTTGACATGATCCTTGTTGATTACTTTAATGGCGACACTTTCGGAGGTTTTGAGGTTTTTGCCATAGTAGACCTTGGCGAAGGTGCCTTTGCCTAATAGCCTCCCCATCTCATACTTTCCGAATATGATGTTTCGGGCTCCATTGATGAGTGCTTGGTTTTCTTGTAGAGATTGGTCCGTTTGATCCTCCATGAAGAATCAAGAAGGTAGACGAAGATTGATGAGTGGTGGGGATGTAGTGACGAGTGATCAATTTGATGTGGGCGAAGGGGATTTGGTTTTGGACATGGTTGAAAAGGGCCGGCCAGTAATGTTGTTAATGAGTCCCACTTGATCAGAACAGGGCTGGCAGTACAATTAGGTGTGGAGGTTGATGATACTGACTCTCTGAGGATGTGGTGGAGGAGTTGTTACGATTTGGCTTGAGGGTGGTGGTGCAGGTGATGAGTGGTGGGGGTAAGAAATATAAGGAGGGGGAGAGAGAGAGAGAGAGAGTGAGGGGAGGGAGTGGGTTGTCTAGTACTAATTGGATGACATGGTATTGGGGCCCTCTTGGCAATGTGGAGGAAGCGGCAAAGCACATAGAAATTTATAGGGTTATAATATTTTCAAAAAATCAGCCAATGGGTAGCAGAAACTTGTGGCGTGTTTGGTGGAGTCCAAGGTAAATTATTGGCCTTGAAAAGACATTTAAACTCATTGGGGTCCCACTTTCAAAATGAGTAATGTGGTTTTCAATCCCCACCAATTTTTTCCAAATAAATAATAAAAAAATTGTCTCCACCCCGGATCTTAGGATCCAATTGCGTAATGTACAATTTTTTCTTACTAAATTAATGAGAATACTATTTTTTTAAAAAAAATTATTAGAATAATTGATGGTAGTAGCTACATTCCTAAAATTCTCGAATATGGTAAGGTTAAGTAATCCTCTTATAGCACTTTTGAAAGAGAGTAATTTTAATTAATAATGAATATCTCATTCATAGTAATAAGATATACGAGTTTTAATTATTATAATAATTTTATATTTAGTATTTGGTTATTGAGTGTAAAAATTAATATATTGTCAAATTGTTTTAAGAAAAAACTTAATATTAGAAGAAAATTTTAATTTTTGAAGTGAAATTAATTTTAGAATTTTTATTTCTTTTATAGAATATCCGAGATTATCACCATTTGTCATGGCCTTATGATACCCACTATTATTGAAAAATGAATTACGATATTAATCTTATTTTCAAGTTAGATTACTCAATGATCGATTATCCAAACACAATAATCTATTATTTAGGAATGAGAATCGTATTACTGATCAAGATTACCGTAATTCAAACTGGGCCTAAAAATTTAGAGAATATATTTAATAGAGGGAAAATTTAAGTTTCACTCCCTCTAGTTTATCATATCTTCAAAGATAGTCCCTCTAATTTTTAAATCTTCACTAACATTCCCTATCAGATTAAAGACCTAATTAGAATATAATTTTACAAAATTACCTATGATATATTTTAAGAAAAATTTTATCTACACTCCATTTAGATAGACGTATCTTCAATGAGACCCCTTCTATTTTATAATTTTTTTTACGTATTAAAATTTTGGACCAACTAAAATTCAATTCGAGTCGAATAAAATTGGTTTTTAATTAGCTCGATCCAATTTTAATCAACTAGCATTGAATTTTAATCGGCCTGAATTTTGATATGTAAAAAAAATATAATTTTAATTGAGTCAAATTTTAATACGTAAAAAATAAATTTTAATCAACTTAAATTGAATTTTAATTGGCACGGATTTTAATAAGTAAAAAAATATAAATTTTAATCAATTCAAATCAAATTTTAATCGACACTAACAACTCAGGTTAAGCTCAAATCAACTAAAATTTTAATATGCAAAAAAAAAATTAATACGCTCGAATTTTAGTACGTAAAAAAAATAAAATTTAGTTAAGCTCGAATAAAATTTAAATCGGGTCAAATTTTAATAATTAATCAACTTAAAATTTAGTATGTAAAAAAATAAATTTTAATCGACTTGAATTTTATGTAATAGGGACAATTTTATTATTTTAGAGAATTTTTTTTATTAGAAATGATGGTTTAATAGTATGTGGTCTTAATGATGTTTAGATATAAACTAGAAATAGTGTAAGTGATATTTTAAATAATAGAGAGATATTTTTAAGATATAATAAACTAAAAGAGGCCTAACTAAAATTTTTCCTACACCATGGTGACATAATGATCCCGATCATTGCGGAGGACAACAAAGTAAGACACTCTTGGGTCCCTTGGTTGCATTATTAAAATGGTAGACTAGAAAATTATAATGAATTAAAACTCTCTAATTTAATTTTATGCTATATTTAATTATAAAAAACACTTCGTATTATATATAATTTTATTTTAAATATTTATCCAAATAATACATTTTATTTGTATTATTGAATCGATTATAATATCACTTTCCCAAGTAATATTATAATTAATACTCTTTCTAAACACTTAATTATAATACGTAATATTTAATTTTGTATTTCAATGAAATTAATCATTATTAAGTAATACAATTCATTTTTTTTACAATACAGTAACCAAACGGACCCTCTATTTTTTCTCAAGACTGTCATGTTATCTCCTCATTAGTTGGGTATTTTAAATTACTTTGATGATAGAATAGTTTTGATCCATGAAATAATTACCCCCAAATATGTAATCTGTAGATTCCTCTTTGTGAGCAATTAAATAGAAGAGTAATGCTAGATGGATTTAAAAATTAGACTTGATAATCTCAACCATTGAATAGGTAGTGGGTCCTAATAAATGCTGGGATCCACAGTGAAATCAATGATTGAAATTATCAAGTCTAGTTTTTAAATTTACTTTTTAACTCTATTTAGAGTTAACGTAAATAGAATCTTCAAGACCAGCATTCAAGCTTCATACACACAATCACACTAATAATTATCCATATCCAATTTGAAGATGACAAATGATAAAGTTAAGCCAAAAGGCTTGATATTATTGAGTAAGATTATCCCAATGCTCTTTCAAGCCTTGGTTTATTTTTTTTCAATTTTAAAAATGACAATAACAGCTGGTTTATGACGATATACACAGTAAAATACACTAAAAAAAGAAGAATTTATTCATTTCATTTTCCTATGTTCCATAATTGAAGTGCCGCCAATAGTCCCATGGGACCGGCTTCTTCTTTTTTGTCGTTTTTTTTCTTGGTTTTGTACCCTTTTTTATGTTATCCTAGCCCAATTAAGAAAATGTTCGTGGCAGCATCAGGCGAGGCGATGCACAAGCCTGTCCTTGTCATAATCCCAGAAAGTTGGATTATGTGTGTATGCCCCTATATTGTTGAGCTAATATTAAGTATGCAACCTTTAACTCATGATAGCAATTCAAATAACTCAAAGCTTTGAACATCATAACTTTGGAATGAAAACAGGAGCAACAGGGTACATGCAAGCAACAGCAGAGGACATGGCAGTATGTTACAGTTACAATGAAGTTGCAAGTAAATTGTGGGGTTTCTTATCTTTGACAAAAATATTTTTTGAAACTACGATTCCAGAAATGGACTACCACAATTACTAAGAACGCGAATTCATCTACACCAATTCAAGCACAAGCCAAAACAATGAAAAGACAAAAACATGAATATGCATTAACTTAAAAAGGAAGCTGAATGAAAAGAGGAGTAATAAGTTTATATTTAGGACAACAGATTTCAATCCATTTATTTTCTCATCCCACATGGCAATAAACAGCAACTAACATCCCAAATCTCATGTTTTTGAATTAAAATCTATTGGTTCTCTTCATTTGCTATTTTTTGAACCTTTAGTTTTGTGAAATTAAGACACAAAAACACACAAGCTTAGTCCATCATAAGAAAACTAACATTCCCAGGATAGAGCTATAGAGCAAAGGAGCTACAAGTGGAAGTTTTCTCACCTTATTGTTTGCAACTATTCAGGTGAGTCCATACCGGCATTGGATTTTTTTTCCTTCTAGAAGCAACTCCAAGGCATCAGAAGCAAGGTCAATCATTTCGAGTGTCTTCTCCCATACAATTTGACAAGTACTTAAGTTGTATGCTTCTTCACAAGGATTCATAGGACGAAGATTGTAGGCAATGTAAGCACAGACAGGCCACTCATCAACTTTAAGCTTCATACAGTGCTTTGGAATATCAGCATCAGTAGCTGCAAAAAGTGCACTTCTTGAGCCTTCTTGAGCATCAAATAGAAAAAATGGTATTAGCTTATAAGCAGCTTGCACAATTGTTGGAAGATCCCTTGCAACATTTGTTTGGACACTTCCAGGGTCTACACAAACTACACTAATACCAGAATCAGCAGGCATGAGCTTCTGAAGGACACTGCTAAACATCACTTGTGCTAGCTTGCTACTTGAGTAAGCTTGTAAGCCAGTGAATTTCCTTTTGTCCGACGTGAAGTTCATGTCAGATGTCTCAACAAACCCAAGGAAATGCATGATGGAATTAACATTGATGATTCGGCTTGGAGCACCCATTTTAAGTGAGGGCAAAAGCAATAATGAAAGTAATGCTGGGGCAAGATGGTTCACTTGCATGTGTGTTTCATAGCCATCCTTCGATAATTTCCGTGGCTTTCCCATTGAAAAAATTCCCGCATTGTTGATTAGGACATGTAAGGGTTTCAAAAATGAATTCCATGCTTCAGAAAATCGCACAACTGATTCTAGAGAAAGAAGATCGAGTTCCATCACCTCAAAACTGAGGAGGCCCTTATTGGAACTTTGGTTCTGCCATCTCTGGATCAATTCATGGGCTGCATTCGGGTTCCTTACTGCCATAACAACGTGTGCCCCAGACTCAGCCAATTGTCTGGCCATTTCAAGTCCAATTCCACTAGTACATCCAGTAACAATACAAGTCACACCATTAAGTGGAGGCAAAAGCAATGGATTATGCAAATGTCTTGACATAACTTTCTGAAAAATTAACTCAGAAATCAAATGAGACCACCCACTAAGCCATTCCATCCAACCCAATCCTGGCTTTTCTTGCTTTGACGATGAGGATGGAGAATAAGAACCCATGTTCACTCTGTCTTTCTTCAGCAATTCAAATCCTAGGATCGATAAACTCGAGATATCACTGCTTCCTCATGTACATTAGTACATTACTTGCAACCAATCTTGTTGTGCTAAAAAACAAATAATAGAGCAAAATTCATTAAAAATTCTTCTACTTTCAATTGACAGGCATACAGTGGATATCTTTATCATAGGTTGAATGAACATTTTAATTCAGTTTACCACGGTTTAACAATAACTAAAGGAATTCTAAGAAATAGGCCATGCCATATGACAAACACAAATAGTGCAATTAGATAGAGGCATGAGAATCAAATGAATATACAATAAGATGGCTCATGTTATAATCCTGGAGAGCCTTTTTCAGTCTGTCTGCATCAGACAAAAAGGCTTTCTCACTGTTTTATTTTTCAAAGGGCAAACTACAATTCACACCCTTAAATTTACCTATTCCTATTTGGTCCTTGAACTTCCAAATGGCATTCCGTGACTAACATGTGACTTGGGTAAAGATATATATATTTGTCCCGCTAAAAATCTTTCCCACATAGGCTAGACAACCTTATTTTTTTTTTATCTAATTATGAGTTATAACAAGATAACTAATCCGGGAAAAAAATATATATAAAGAGTAAGCATTTGGGAGATATTATGAGGAATATCAATGTCACTGAGAGACATTAGCACACTAAATTGCTCTTCTTCTTCTTTTTTTCTCGAGTAGCAGGTCAAATTTAACAGCTCTACGAATCAAACGCATAGCAAGACGCAATGACTTCAAAAAAAAAAAAAAAAAGTACTCTGGTAAGCAACATGACAAATTTTCAACATCAAAGAAACGGGGTAAAGGGGAGTTGAATTGGAAAATCTTAAGGGTATAAGTGAATAACTCGAAGAAAATTCAAGAATGATTGTTTTCTGATAGTTTTAAACTGGAATGCTGACAATCCATTTCAATGCAAGACTAAATGGTATGAAAAAATACACAAATTAACCTATTTAGCAACGCCACATGACAATAAAGAAGCAATTACAAACAATGTGGAGAGAGAGAGAGAGAGAGAGAGAGAGAGAGAGAGACTAACACCACTGGCATAGCCTCCGTCAAAGTTTGAGAACTCTTAGAGAAGATCTAAGTGGAGTTGTATTAGAACGTAGTTAATCTGGTAGGCCCTTTTCATGGCCACAAGGCCCAGTTTGAATTGGGTTGGGCTTTCTTTGGTTTTGGTTTCTCAAACAAAGTGAAGCCTGACAAATAACCTTACTTACTTAGCTTGATCTTTTATAAGATGAGGCCTCACAAATGAAGGCCCAATATGTTTTTTTTGACCTTTTTTTTTTTTTTTGTAAATTGGTACTAAATATATGACAATTGGTTAATCTTCATGGGTTACTTCAACATCATCTGCTAACTAAGAGGATTGAGGTTTGAATTTCACGTGTCAGGTCTAAAATCTAAATTTAATCTCTTTGAATATCACGATGGCTCTTAAACAAGAGGAGACTAAGCACGTCAACGTGAATCTTATAAGTTTGAAGAGATATTTTATACAAAAAATATTTAGACTATAGGGGAGATGACATTATCGGAAGACTCGAGGTCGATCTACTTCCTTCAACAATCTGCACGACTAGGTTGGTACATATGATGAAGATTTAAAGTACATCACACCTAATTTTCAATTGCTAACAAATATATCCGATCCGAATATAATCCATCAACTACTAACCTATCCCAACTTGTAAATAGGTTAGAAGTGTTGTCAAAGACCTTATAACACAATTGGTTTAAAAGATAAGATGTCATTTTACAATACAATAAAACAAAATAAAACAAGTTGTTGCAAAGGAACAATGTGGTCAAAATTCAATTCCGATTGCTAAGGTTAAGGAAAAACTCATGTGAATGGAATTATGGAATCGATTTAAAAGAAGAATCTATATCCTTTATCTTTGACTAGACCAGACATCATCATCATCAATGTGTAGACAAATTACAGCATCTCTAGTTAAGTCTATCAGTGATCATACTTCAATTTGAATTTAATAATTTATTCAGGAGTAATGCTATTGAGACCTAATTTATTAACCTAATTCATTATAATTTTTGGATTGACTGTGCAGCCCATCAAATATTAGAATTTTGTGTTGATCTAATGATTTTATTGAAATTACATCATTATATCAATAAATTAAGTTAAATTTTTAGGTCCAAATGATATTACTCTTTATATTTAGATGTTGTATGAGAAATTAGTGAACCAATGGTTTAGATCGAGGTTGATTTACTTTGTCAAAGATTAGCAAGACTAGGTTGGTACATATGATGAAAGATTCAAAGTGGATCAAATTCAATATTTGATTATTGACAAATCTTGATACAAAGGAGACCCAATTCCAATCTATCTACTACTAGCTCATCAAAACTTATAGATAACTTATAGATAGGGAAGTTTTTTTTTTTTGATATTGTGATGAATGTTGTTCTGGTCAGTTTATACATATATCGATTAATTTTTTTTTGATTTGATTAAAGACAGATTATTCACTTCAAGATTAAGAGATTAATAAAAGATAAATTTCTCATAACTTGACTACAAGAGAGTTGCCAAATTTTAAATTCAGAGCATCTGAATTTACAATTTGTCCTCGTCTCTTTTGAGCTACCCATTGGGGTTAGGTAGAGTAGATTTGTAATTAAAGACCTTTATAACACAATTGACAGTCTCTCCATGTGTTCACTGATAAACATATTCATGATTTGTTAGGATTCTTTGAATCCGTCTCGTATTCCATTCAAGATTCTCACATTAATTATCCAACACACTCTCATTCATGACAATTAGAGAGTTTGAGTCAAATTCTAACATCGAAACTAAAAATTCATGAAAGATAAATCTCTTATTGTCTGATTACAAGAAAGTCTTCAAATTTTAAATCTATGACATATGAATTTACAGCTTATTTTTATCTCCACCGAACTACCAGATTGGGTTAGACAGATTTAAAATGTAATCAAAGACCTTACTGCACAACCGATTTAAAAAAACAATCATTGCAAAGGAACTATGTTGTCTAAAATTCAATTCTGATTGCTAAGGAGGGGGGGGGGGGGGGCGGC